CCCAACCTCCCTAATCCTCCCTACCTGCGGCTTCTGCCCAACCTCCCCACATCTTCTTACCTGCGGCTTCTGCCCAACCTCCCTAATCCTCCCTACCTGCGGCTTCTGCCCAACCTCCCCACATCTTCTTACCTGCGGCTTCTGCCCAACCTCCCTACACTTTCCTACCTGCGGCTTCTGCCCAACCTCTCTAAACCCACATATCTACAACCTCAAGCCCTCAAGCGGTCGACACCGCACTCCGCATCAACTGACACGTGTTGAGAACCTATCAAGCCCGTGCTCTTCTCGTCGTCGTCAGCTCCGATTAACGCCACGACGCATTGCAAGGTGTCTTCAATCAGGTGTATTAAACTACTGGCCGGATTCTCGCTACAAGGATCAATGTCCTCGCACGATAGCGCTCACATACGAAGGCAAATAGGAGCTCTCAAACGACAACTCCAACGCCATGTTTCCACTGTTGCGAGTCTCCTTCAAGAGTACAATGTTGAACCTACTACGTGCAAACTCGACCATTGCGATGAGGACGAGCTACAATCGTTCCGCTTTGAAATCAATCTACTAAAGCAGCACTTATGAAGGCCTACACATCAATTGTCAGGCTACGCGACAACTGGACCGTGTTGCAGCAGTCTGATGCGAACGAAAAAAGGATCTTCGAAGACTATATCGGAAAATACGGAGATTACCGAGGAATTATCGCTGACACAGTCACTCATTTGGAGCAATGCGATGAACTCTTGAATTTTATCGATAAGAGGTATGCTCGGCAAAAACTCAATCCACCATCAGATTCCTCTGATGCTTCTCGGGACAACCACGATACTCATCGACAGCCACGAAGTCACGAAATAAGAAAAACCGCAACACTGCATTCGATTGCAAACTCGTATCACCGTCATCCAATCGCTGCGACGGATTCTACTCTTCTGAACTTCGTTGACGCTTCCATTCTTACCAAATTGGAACTTCCCACGTTTGACGGAAATTGTTGGATTACCCTGAATTTAGATCTCGCTTTGATACTTTGGTTGTCTCAGCTGGATGACACGGTAAGCTTCTCTCTATTAAAATCGTGCTTACGCGGGAAAGCACTTCAATCCATACAGGTCCTATCTATGACTGAGGAAAATTACCACATAGCTAGGAAAATTCTCAGAACCTTGTTC